AAGATTTATCATGTTGGAATAACCTTTAAAAAATCTTGCAATTTGCCCAGAAGAAAATCCTGGTAGTTGTGTACAGTGAACTGAATTCTTCGATTAGTCCTTAAGACATCGAAGTGGTATAGGAAATCAACGGCCCCTGCATGCAAAAGAACCAGAGCCTGATTGACAATTCTTTGAGCCTCTTGGCTCCCTACAACATTTGTCAGCCTCTTGAGGTAATCCTGAAGATTTCCTGGTTGCTTTAGCAATGTAATTACATTTGCAATGGCAAAGGTTTGATCATCAAATCCTGAGCCGCCTGATGCAAGGGAGACACCTGTTAGCAGTCGCGATCGGTTAGATTTGGCTGTAGATAAGGGGGCACAAGTTCCTTCAGGCCTAGCAAGGATGCTAGAAGGTCTGGCACAAGTTTCCCATCAGAAAACCTTCCGGTGGCGATTTTGCCTGGGAAATTTGTGCCATATGGCTGATAATTGGCTCTAGCTATTGAATTCAAGTAGCCGTTGTTACCAGTATCTAAGACCGAATCACCAAAGGCAAAAATGGCACTAAATCTTGGGATGTTTTGGCCATTGCATTCGTAGTTGAAAGCGAGAATCGCGAGAAGCAAATCTGCACTAAGAAATTCCAGAAATGGCTAGGAATTGCCATTGACCAGATTGCTTCTTCGCTGTTGGGAAATGTCAACAAATGTGTGATTTACTACTAAGTTTTGAAGCTTTAGCCCTTAGAGAAATGAGACCCTTATAAAAGCATATGTTGCTAGCAACAAATTTTCAATTGACTATGAAATTGAAGTCCATCTCCAACTCTTAATGCTTTCAGTGAACCTTTACATCAGTTACAGATATGCAGCATTATTAGCTCAATTTGTTTGTCTTAACCTTAACATTACTGTCAACTGTTACAACCATGAGCTTTAAAATCTCAATTTTTAGCTCGTTATTTACTGAGAAATATATAATCTATAAAACATATGACTGATCATTTGAAGCATCATTCAGAGAAGAGTAGTGGGTGTATTTTTCTTCCCTGGTCAACCAGTAACTGTTCAGATTCGTTAAGTGTTGCACGTTATCTCATAAAAAATTCTCATTATGGAAAAGACATAATCAGAGTGAGATATATTAAATGTCAATAACATAATTAATTCAATAATTTTTTTTGTTAAAAACATCAACATTTCATTAAATCTACATTAATGACAGAAATTACATCAACTATCGGACCAAACAGATACGGATGCACTACGCACTAGTATGGATTTAGAAGAAACTATGGCACATTGATAAAAGGTAAGGTTTGGACCCTCGACCTCTCACTCCACAAAGACTTAAAGTCTTTGGTGGTGGCCAACAGCCCGAAGGGCCGTTGGTTAATCTATCTATCTATACCTACAATATGTAATTTTTTCACATTTTTCTGTAGTGCCAAATATATAACTTGCTAATTATATTTATGATCATTAGCCAACTACTAACTATAATCCTAATCCTAGTACATGTTTTCAATTTGTGCAATTAATTACGATATTATTCTCATCCTTCAACTGCTGGCCACGACTATTAATTAACCACAATCCCGCTAGTTCAATGACTGAATATAGGATAAAGTAAATGAATTAGTTTTCCAATGCATTTTCCCTATCTCTACATTCAAAATTGGTGGAGCAAACATTACTGCTTCTAGTACTGTTTCTATTTTTTTTTCTATTGTAAGTTCGTATTTTCTTGAAATTAATAGAGCAAGAAAGATTTAGTATTTGAAGCAATGTCCAAAATCCAGCTCTAGACAAAAATCGACTGGTCAAAATTCCAAATAAAACTCATCTCACGATATCTTCCTGAAGCAAACTTGGTTTCTAGTACTGTTTCCATTTTCTCCTCTTTTATGTTTGTCCTTTTCATTTTTCCTAATAGGCACGGACTATTGATTACTGCTCTTCATCTACCAGTATGTAAGCCTTTCCGGATGGTTTTGGTTATAGTCTAGTGTACATGCAGCCACAGGCAGCTGCAGCAACGAGATGGATGTGCACAGTTGCACATCAAATAATTAATTTTCCCTGATTCACAACACAAACTTTGATGTGCTTGGACAATTGTAATGAGTCTGCTGGCCTGCACTAGTAGAATGTTCAACAGCTTGGAATTTTGACAATTTCAACCTGAATCGCATCGCAGGAAAAGGATACTGTTGCATGTTTTGCTAGTATCAAAAGAAAATGTGCAATCAGAATAACATACAGTATATAATTATATCCCTAATTTCTCGTACACGTTAAACATGTCATTAGGACAGTTATATAAAACAAATCGTGTTTGACGATTTCCAGCAATCAATTAATGAAATTTGCTATTTATCAAAAAAAAAAAAAAGAAAGGGTACAATCAGATTAACATTTATGCATAAATTTGCTATGTTATGTACGCGCTCGCTCTATGACTGAAAAAGAATTAAGGATTTATCAAGAACGAAATTGTGACGAGATACACGAAATGGGATCTCAAATTAAGGATTTAATTTCCTCACCATAATCATTAACATTAGAAATTGAGTTTGACTACCAAAATCTAGATAGACAATTAGCTGATCAACTCGTGCTTCGTCTAAGTTCAAGCAAGAACTTGGTAAAGATTTCCTTTGCCAAGTTTTGGTAAACTGTTTCGGTAGCTAGGATGACACGATCCCAGAATAGGCACTGGGAAGAGTTTCCACATACTGGTGCGAGTGGATTACACAGTGGCCCAAATTCCAACAACCCAATTCCACAACATCCTCTTCCTGTTTCTGCAAATTCTGTCGCATGAAATGCATAATTAGCATTTTTGAAAAAGAAGATCTATCATTGGTAGTCCCTCATTTGTTAATAAAATCATCTTTGACTTTTTAACTATGTGAATTGAATTGATTCAAAATATTCCTATCCTTTGTTCCATTGACAACCACTCCCTTGTTATGAAGTTGCAATCTGTATCCGTCTATCTATCTATTTGTACTCCATATAAAAGTATGAATGGTGTAGGCAATGGGAATGGGAGTGTAAGCAATTTTTGGTTTTAATTTTTCTGTTCCCAAAGTACCATATTGTCTAATAATTAGAGTTGTTTCATTTCAGTTATGATTTTAATTAAATGAATAAAACATTTAAAATGAAAACTGTCACGCTGCCAATTGATTCGACAATGCTAGTAATTAAGATGAAAACTTCTTCTCTCATTTAAAACTTCTTTACACTCCATCTCCAATTATTTCTTGTACTTAAAATTTCTTGCTCAAAGCAATGGTAAAATGTTAAATAGTTAGTCAAAATATACATGCTTTTAGGAAAAATCGAAAACATGCAAAAAAAGAGCAAAAAAATTGACTTGAAAAATCTTTATAAGAAGATCATGAGCCATTTGAAAATGGCAAAATCCTTTGGATTATTTATCCCCTTATCAACTAGTACTCACACAAACAGCAAATTGTCGAAGTTCAATGAACATTACATCTCAATTAATGAGATTCAAATCCATCCGAAGAAAAGAAAAGTTATCAATTACCATAATGTTTATCAATTTTGTTTGTTACTCCTAACTCCATATATGCAGATACATTTCTTGCAGAGAATCAATACTTGTGTATTAGAGTTTGGGTCATGATTTATCTAAAGGGTCAAAAAAAAAATTTTAAAAAAAAGAAACTCCATATAAGAGTTCACATTTTAAAAATATTTTTACAAAAATTGACTAAAAGAAATAAAAAATATAAGAATTATTCTATTTTAAAGCTAAAAAAATCAGAATTTTACAAAGAATTTTAGTATCTTAAAAGTGTCATATTTTGGATTAATACAATCACGTGCAAAGTGCGTGAGGCATTACCAGCTAAAATGCAATATACGTAGAAGTACTTTTATGATTTATCTTCTTATAAAGTAAAACGTCAAGTAGAATTTTTAAGCTCATGGTGATGACAGTCGTACATATTTTTGAGGTTGGTTGATCATGTCCAGTACTGGATGGTAAGTATCTAGATAGATGAGTTTGATCCCAGGAAATTTTGCCTGGACTTGTGGTAGGAGCTCTTCTAGCTTCTCATTATAAGATCGAGTCTCTAGGTTCATGTTCTCTGTACATGTTCTTCCTACTGCTGAATTCACGGTCATCGTGATTGGCAAACAGCCAAGTGGTGGAATCCCGGAAGCAATTATTCTGCCTGCGGCAATTAAGATCATATAGTTCCTGAGATTTATAAGAAGTAAAACATGTCATACTTTCATTGTTTTAAGCAAGATCATATTTAATTGTGGCAAATTGAAGGGAGATAAGGTTTGAACCCTTGCCTCCTACCCCATCAAGTCTTAATGCATTGGTGGTGACCACCAACCCAAAAACTGGTGGTTTAATAAAAATATAGTCCGGTGTCGCAAATCTACGACTATGAAAAGCTGATGAAATGCAAAAAGACTATAATAATTCTTTTAAGTAAGATCTGTAACTGTGATATTTATGTTGGTGATCTACAGGCAGATCAGTCATAGTTTTACCTATAATCTAGGCATAGAAGGACTGAAATTCTCCTGCACAAGGTTCCTTTTCTTGGGCGATTATTGATATTCATGCGTTTATGGATTTTTCTTCTTCTTTTTCAAGATTTAAGATATACAAGACATCCTACATTACGGTGTCAATAATCCAATTATGTATACAAACTGTGATTAAGAGGCTATCCATATGTATCTTGGACATGTACGTATGAGAATTATTCAAATTGAGAACTTGGAGAGAGGGAGAGAGGGAGAGAGCTAGAGCGTAACCTTCAGGAAATTTTGCAAGTTCCTCAGCAAGAAATCTTGGTAATCGTTTACACTGAACTCAAGTCTTCTATCAGTCCGTAAAACGTAGAAATTATATAGGAAATCAACAGCTCCGGCATGTACAAGCACCAAAGCTTCATTAACGATTCTTTGAGCTTCTTGTCTCCCAGCAATCTTCTTCAGCCTCTCCATGTAATCCTTAAGATATTGTGGTTGCTTGGACATTGGAATTATGTTTGCTAGCAAAGGTTTCATCATCAAATCCTGCAGCAGCTGATGCAAAGGAGACACCTGTGAGCAGTTCTTGATCCGATAGTTTTGGCTGCAAAAACGGCGGGATTGTTTCCTTGAGGCCTAACATGGATGCCAGAAGATCTGGGACGAGTTTTCCATCAGAAAATCTCCCAGTCGAAATTTTACCAGGGAAGTTTATGCCATATGGAGCATGGTTGCCTTTAGCTATTGTGGTTATGTAATTATTGTTGCCGGGATCGACGGCCGAATCACCAAAGACAAGTATGGCACTGAATCTTGGAATGTTTTGGGCACTGCATCTGTAACTGGAAATAATGATTGTGAAGTAAATTTGTACAAAAAAGATCGAGAAGAGGAGGAGAGGAAATGCATGCCATGGACGAGATTGTTTGTGTCTGCTCATTTTCCAATTTGTGTGTTTAGACCTTCGGGAATGTATTGGCGTCTTAGTTATGAAAGAATTTGTTATTAGCAATTGACGAAGAATTAAGTATTCAACCTTCATGAAGTTAAAATGTCAGTACTGAATTAGCCACCAACTCTGCACTGCTGCATCGATTCCTCAGCACGACGGAATTTGCACGTTGGCTAGAAATATTCAATTAATCTTGAGTACCACATAATGATGTTTATGTCTCGTTTATGCTGCTAAACGTGGTAGTACAACACATGATTAGCGAAGAATCCTCGAGCATACAACTTGGCAATGTAGTCTTAAGAATGAAAATTAGTATTGTAATCACTCGGTTACGCTCGAAGTAATCTTACAGCCTGGTAAGCCATGCACGAAGTCAGAAGTACTGAATCACAGAATACGATATCTTCTTTTCATCCCAAAATCTAGCTGGATCAGGGGCCTCACTAGTCTATATTTTCAATCCATTTCAGGGTAAAATAGTTATTTGAAATATTTTTACATCTTACTCCAATTTGTTTACATTCTACCCAAACTTATGTACACCTACCCCAATTTGTTTTACACCTTATGTGCAAACTGGTTTAACGTGGAATTGCCAGAATTCAGTCATACTCAATGTCTGGAGCTCTGTGTTCTATGTATGATAGATAATAAGGGTTGTCTAACGGTTAAGATAATGTATAATACAATGGAGGGTAATAATGGTTAGTATATGTATAAATGTAATAAATTGTGTGAAATTTAAGTGTATTTATGACCATCCATTTGGACACCTATTAATAATATTCACACTCCAAATAGATTTTTTTGGTCATGTGGGCGAGCTCATTTTGAGATTGTGGCATTGTGCTCCATGACAAATAGCCTTCTCCACGTAGAGCCCTGAAGAAGTCCTCATTCCTTGTGTATTAGTCACAATAACAAATATGCCCCTGGTTTATTTCATGCCTTACAAGCTGTCCTCCTTTCAATCCCTAACTTCTCATCACTAGAACTGCATACGAGTCGAACTGCTCACTAATCGATCGTTAGCAGCTTGAGTATTTTATCGGTCATTTTACCTAAAAATTTAATATTTATTAGAAATTTCAAAATTAGTCCAAAATTTTGAATTCTTCCTGAAGTATAGATCTCGCTTTTTGAATTAGTGACTTCAAAGTCACTTTTTCAGATGATGATGCGACTTTAAGTGACTTTATAACAAGCAAATTAAAGACAAATGATGACTAAAAATAAACTAACTAAAGTCTCCTTAAATGGCGACTTAAAGCCACAATTTGAAATTGTGACTTTGAAATCACACTTTCAAATGACAAAATCTTTACTTTTGGAAGAATTAAAACTTCTATATAGGAGAGACGGGACGGGTGTATGTTGTCCGCTCCCGCCCCGTTTTAAGGGGGAAAATTTTCTCCCCCCGCCCCCGCCCCAGTTCTATCCCTGAAGGGCGGGGCGTTGTTGCCACCCTTAGTAACATCAAATAACAACCAACTGGAAAAATTTTATTGGTGCCACCCCAATTAATTAGTTGATTTCTTTAACACCTTAACCGTCAGACCATGCTTCATACGAAGAATAGTAGAGGCTGCAGGGGTTGCCACTGGTTGATCCTTTGCTATCTTGGTACCTACATGAAATTGGTAGTTGAACAAAACTGTAGCAAAAGCCAACTCTTTCCCCGGGCAAATCCTGGGACCTGAGCTGAATGCTACGAACCTGTTGGATGTCAAAGGCTTTAAACATCCTGTCTTCGAAATCCATCTCTCTGGCTAGAATTCAAGACAATCTTCTCCCCATATCCACCTCATTCTTGCCATAGCATAAGAACAAATAACAATTCTTTTGTTCGCTTTCACACGGTGACCGCTTGGTAGCATGTCAGCTTTGATGCAAGTTCTCGACTGAAAAGGACTTGATGGAAAGAGCCTTAATGTTTCACACATGGCTGCATGGAGATAAACAAGCTTTTTTAACTATTTTGGGTCGAAAAATATACGCGTACGTGATTCAGTTGCCTCAAAGCTTACCGCAAGTTCTTCTCTAATCTTGGATTCAACAATGGGGTTCTTCGAAAGAAGCCAAAAAAACCAAGATAAAACTGGTGAAGCTGTATCCGTTCCTGCAAATATAATTCCTTTTACAATTTCTCTCATAGTGTAGTCTTGCCCCCCAACTGATTCCAGGAACTCCTTCCCATTGTAAAAAAATGTGATTGCATCCAAACTTTCCTCACCATGCTCGGATTTGGAAATATTGTCGGTTTGCTCTTTCCAAATCTTGATGCATTTTGCTGCTGCTTCATCCAAAACTTCGCAAGCTTTACTGAGTCTCTTCTCTGCACCAACTCCCAGCCACCTTTGGAACATCCAAAATCTTTCTGGGAGAATATAGCGAAGCAATATCACATCACTAGCATCATGCAAGGCTTCCAAAACAACATCTTTTGGCAGTCCAACGCAGAGGGAGCTGCGGTTTTTGCCACTGATCATCATGAATGTTGCATCAAGCATAGCCCTTTGGAACACATCTTGCAAATCTATCGTAATCCCGTGTTCAGAAGCATGATCCAAAACTGGAACAAGCCCTTTTTCAAGAACTTCCTGGTTTATCCTAACCGTGAAATGTTGCAACTGTTGGTTGTGGAAAAAAGCGAGACCGAATTTCCTATGAAATCTCCAATCCTTTTGGTCCGCGGCAAATAGGATCTGCCCGTAGGCCGAGAAAATCCTTCTGGTGTCGGGACCCTTGGGATAATTGGAGAAGTTTGTACTCAATAAATGCTGCACGTTCGCGGGATCAGCGGTGAAAATCATATCCCTGTTGCCAAACCAAGGTCCTTTGAACTCAAAGGTGCCGCCACAGAACTCTAAAACTTCAGTGACACTGTCAAATATAAAACTGGTTAGCAGCAGCATGGGCAACATCCCAATGAGGGGCCAATTACGGGGTTGCCCATTCCTCGGGCAGAAACAAAGAAAGAGTAGAAAGGCAACCGCTGCAATGATAACTAGAGCTATAGAATTTGAAAATGCAAATATGTATGCAATTGTTGCCATTTAGTGTCAGCTAGGATTGATTTTGGGCTAGCAGTATTTGCCGTACGTTAACAAGGTTTAATAGTGGTCCAGTGTCTGCGTTGCAAACTCATTTTTCGAACTTATGAAATATCATCCTATGAGTTATAGCAAGCAGCCAAACACAACAGCACAAGATTTGTCGATCTCAAGCAATCTGCACATATATTTGTATAAACAGGTTCGTGCACGTTCCCGATCTAAGCTGATATATCTTCACAGCCTGTAGTAAGATTACAGGGGAACGGAAAAGAATTGATAAATGCCTGGGATTGTGATTTCTCAGCCAGGTTTTGTGACCAGTTGTCCGAAAATATCAAGATTATAGACTCGGTAACTTTTAGTTGTGGACGTCTATAAAATAAATCATTGGTAGTGTTCTAATAAAAAGAAAAAGGAAAAAAATAATAATCTTTCAATCGAATCCTAACTTTATTTCTAAACTTTAAATGTACCCACCTCCCAAAATGAACAAGATTTCTTAAAACCTCAAGCATTCATATTATAGCTGCGATTCAAAATCAAGCGCCCGTGATGCAATGGTTCAAAGACTCGGCCGAGACTGAGATGACTCGGCCGAGTTGTTATCGGAACGGGGCTTCCCGATCCGATATAGGAACGAGATGACTCCGATATAATGATCGCTGAGAACTCGGCCGAGACATATTCGAAATGGATAGAAACGATCGAATCGTCCTAAGTCATCCCGAATTAATTCGAATTTTTATTATTTTTGCTAATTTTTTAATTATTTTTGTTTATCATATTTTTTACAATTTTTAGAATATTGAATATTTCAAAAATTTACGTCTTGCCGAAATTACGATCGATATGTCTAGACTAATGTGAAACAGTCCAGGCCGCGATTGCAGCCGCTACCACGACTTTGAACCATGGATACAACTATTGTTCTTTTTCTAATTTCATACTCAAAAAGTAGCAGTGCACACGATGGAAGTTTCAACTGGGAAAAAACCATTGATTAATTTCTTTTTCGCCAAATACTTTCATATCATGTGGTAATCATTTCTACCTGTGGACATTCATTTCCAGCAAACAACTGAACGACAGGTCGAATATTGAACACGACTAACCCAGCTCAAGCTAAGCGTATCAATATATTAAATCCAAGAAATCAGCATAGCTGTGCTGGTAATCCTCTTGACTCGATTGGTAGATTGCCACTTGATTGCACGTTTTGTATCTAGATCCTATGTATCATACAAGATAACTAAACCTTTGGTCTACTGCCAGAACAATTTGATGGGCGAAGAGAGAATCCTGGAGACGACTTGCAATGGATTCTCTTTTCTGTTTCTTTTTTCCCCAAGAGAAAATGTTAAAATTGAAGATTCTGAATAAATTTTAGAACCTGGTAGACCAACCCTTTTTGTACTAAAGGATAAATTTTTCAAAGAATGCACCTTTCAGGGTGATGCAAGAGGTTTTGCAGAGATTGGTGGGTGGTCAAAGAGTAAATCCCTGTGTTCTGCATTAAATTATATAGAATAACATTTCATAAAAAGTCACGTTCCAGCCACTCCGCAACTCGGCCATCAAAACTTAAAATTTTTTTTTTTAATTGTCTCCCATAGTTTCTTTTTTTTTTTTTTTTTGTTTAAATTCAAGAAGCTATGGTAGCAATTAAACTCAATATACCTAGCTAGCTTGGTAATGCAAGTACAAGCTCTTCCTGTCTACCCGTCCAATTGGAGACAACTAATTAAATCTGAGGTTATTCTAATTTCATGTTAATGGTTATCCCACCATTTGAGGGTGGGTTGTAGTATTGATAAATTTCTATTATGGGTTTATTGTAATCTTATTATTAGAAAAAAAATGCATAGTTAGAGGGCACTGGACATGGATATGTGAATGAGTTAGGTATTATCAAAATCCCATCAAAATGTATCATTTTTTGATTTATATGTGTATGTCTAAATTTACAATTCCACCCCTATGCAAACCTAGAACCAACGAGATTTAATCCTTCGCTTCAAATTTATAAATCTAAATAGCAAGGGATATTAGGTATTGATCCTGCGAGAAAGAGTGAAGAGTGATCTATTACCGATAGTAGTTAAACTCCTTTATTATTTAGACAAATACAAGTACAAGAAATTAAATATATACTTCAAATATACAATAAAAGAAAGTAAAAATTACAGTTAAAGGTTTCTAAGGTTGTAAAAATCTTAACTACTTTTACAATTGAATGAGTGTTAATATCTTGATTAAGTTATAATATAATTTCCTAATGTACGCGATATTTGTTTTTACTAGTGTACTGATCACACTTGTAACAAATCCATATGTGCTTTCATGGTCATGAAACTAGCTACAGGTTTATTAGATTCTACAAAATTATATGGTACAAAATCACAAATGTGCACCTCTATTTTTGTTAGTATACTACCTAAATTTAACACTTCCTTAAACTAGCTAGCATTAAATCCCAACTTTTATGGGTGATTCAATACTTTTAGATTATCATAACTAATGGCCTATTAATCATGATTAGATAAGCAAAAATACTAAATAATTTGTTCCAAAAAAAAATAGCATCAAATAACCAAATAAACAACACAAACAATCATAGAACATGCATAGAACGCATGAACTCAGAGGCTCAATCCTATAATGAGAAGCTGATGAAGCTGCTATCCCACATCCAGTCAAAATTTCCAGGGAGCAAACTTGTATATACAGACACCTATAATCCACTAATGGACACGATTAGGCATCCTCAAAGATACGGTATAGTGCCACTTGTAATTACAAACTTCTCAATAAATCTCACCTGTCAAGAAAATATGTTTCTTCAATTATCTACCTTGCATTGAAGCAATCAACTGCTTTTTCAACACAGCTAAAACGTTAAAACTGGTATTGCCAGGATTTGTGGAAACTACAAGAGGATGTTGTGGAACTGGATATATGGAAAGCGGATGGCCATCGTGTAATCCTCTCACTCCTGTATGTAGGAACTTTTCACAGTACTTATTTTGGGATGTTGATTATTGCACCGAAGCTGCCTATAAGTATCTGTCAGATTCTATGCTAAAGGAATACATTCCTTCGTTGATTAAAATTCAACCCTAAATTTATAGAGACTTTGGTCTACACCAAAATAATAGAAATAGTAATGACTGTCAAAAATCTCAGTGATAACGGGTATTGGCAATGCCTTACTGGTTGTTTGGTTTTGAAAAGGTAAGGAATGTGGCATCATGCAATAACATAACGAGGTTACAAGTAATTTACCCTCGGCAAAAAGAAGTATTGGCATTTTTTTTAGGGTTAATTCCACTTTGTCACCCCAAACTTTGGACGATTATCCACTTAAGTCCCTAAACTTCAAAATGGGACACTTAAATCCCTAAACTTATAAATACCTCCCACTTAAGTCGCTTAACTTATAAAATGGGACACTTAAATCCCTAAACCCTTATAAAATGGGACATTTCGACCACTAATGGCATTCAGGATTTGTTAACAATTTTTCTTAAGTGGGAGGTATTTATAAGTTTAGGGATTTAAGTGTCCCATTTTGAAGTTTAGGGACTTAAGTGGGTAATCATCCAAAGTTTGGGGGGACAAAGTGGAATTAACCCTTTTTTTTAGGTGAAGACACTGTGACCAGTTATAGAGTAGCTCTTGTTGGGATCCAGACATGAAATAAACTGTTATAAAGATATCAAGTACACAAATTTAATGACAAATAAGTCATAAGTATGAAAGATAAACGACACATAAGATTTAACGTATTTCGACTCTATCATTGAGTTTACATCTATGGAGAGAACATCTGCTCTTTATCATGAGAGCAAAATTCAGTACAACTTGAACCGAGATCCAATTCTTGTATAATTTCTCTCACCTTCCAAAAATTCTCTCTTACCTTATGTGGAAAGCCACATGTTGCCCCTTGTGTGTCACTTTGCAGTATGACAATCCTCATATATTTATAAGCTACATTATTTAACCAACATTCAAATAATAATAGGAAATAACTACTAATTCCTAATTTTATACAAGATAGGAAATAATTCCTAATTCTTAGACTCATACAAATAGAAAATTCTTTGACTACTATTTCAACTAATTAAAATAATGAGGAAAAAATACTTCCACACAAAATAAGAAACCTGTTTAAAAGAAATTAAACCAATTTACTGATAAATCTTCATCTTGGCGAATAATTCTTTTAGCAACAATTTGTATTGAACTACCAATTAATATGATACCAAAGTATACATCTGAATTACCCGAGTCCTATTTCTAGTTAACTCACGAGAAGATGTCTCAATACACTATCTTCCTTCATAGGATTTTTTCTCACCACCACTTACAATTAGGGATCCATTTTAGTTAGCTCTATTTCTCCTTGGGGCAATCAAGTGATAAAATCATCATACTTCTTCCCATCCTCAAGATTGTCTTGCCAGTTGAGAATAATCTGAATTCAACATGACAAGTTGTACAGGATTACTCCAAAATTCTATTTAATGGTACTACCCCGAATCCCACAGGTATCCTTTATTCATGCTATAGCCTTTTGTGATGGAATTGGTTTCCTGTAGAGATTACTACTGTTGCAGGTACAAGAAGATGCTAAGAAAGTGTACTTGCCTCTAGAAACTGAGGCTGTGTATGGAAAGCCATTTTCCGTCGAAAAATTGCTACGTTTCCGTGAACACATTTCCCTATCACCTTTTTACCTCACATATATCAAATCGCTACAGTAATTTTTCTACAAAAAATCCAAAAAAATGCAATCCCAACACAACCTGAGCATTCAACTAGGCCTGCCAGTGGATCAAGTTTTGGTCAGAATTGAAGATTTCGGACCCGAATCCATTATAATATACCTGTTTTGGATTCGATCCGTATGTACCCGACGGGTCTTGTACTTAGGGTCTCGAAACCGGATCCGAGGTCGGGTCCAAATCTACTCAAGAAAATAAGACCCAACAGAAATA